AATTAATGTTGTCACTGCTCTGGCCCCTCCCCCTGCCAAATTTCTGGACTCATGGGGAGCCTGTTTCCTCATATATAATGCACCACCCAAGTTTCCCCAGCTGGCTTTGGGGGAAAAGGTGCAGGTTATGTGGAAGAAAATATGGTATCTCATGGCACCTAGGATGGCTTTCTGTCCCTCTCTTATAGGTTCAGTCTTCTTGCTTTAGTTACGTCATTTCCTCCCAAGTGACGTAGGCCTGCACTATCTGCAAATGCTGTAGTATAGTAAGGTGCAGGTCTATGAGTAACAGACATGGCACGTTCCACAACATGCACCGCTGTTCCAAATGCTCCTGGTCAGCGCTCCAGAAGGAAGAACGTGACATGCTCGAGGGTGTGTGCCTACATATCTATTTATTTGCATTTAAATTCTTAAGGTCCAAACTGCAGGCAGCTTTACCATGTATCCGAAGAGAGGCAGGCTCACACTGTACATACAAAACTCCATGACATTTTTACCACTTCATTTTACAAAATCTGAAAGAATGCAACTGCTTGCGGCTAACCATGAAATCATTGTACATTCTCAACATAAATCTCATCAGCACCCTGTTTCTTCATATGAGCTGTAAAAATGAAGTCTTTCTAAATTTAGAACAATTCTCAGTTATTAACACTGTAATGAAAATGCTGCATTCATTGATCATTCATGGTTAGGGACAATGGGAAATAGTTAAATTGCTTTGTCTCCTCTCCACCCCCAAAACCAGTTTAAGCAATAACTCCTCCCTGATTAACCTCCCAGTCTATAATAAGAAAGCCCCACACTTCTTCTTAGTCAGTCTCTATTTTACTCATTTGTTTAGGCTATGGTTCACTTAACCTCTCTGACAGGGTTGGATTCATTATAAAATATTTACTAGCAACAGCAGGGCTCTCATCACTACACAGGGTTACTATAGCTAGCGCCTGGCACTCGCTAAAAGGAAAAACAGGAACAAATTGGAACAATATAATAGCACCATACCTGCATAGTACAGCATATTATTAAGTGGGGAAAGTGACTCATAAATAAAAGCTAGACATTAAAACAACTGGCACAGATTTTACATGTATAAATAAACATATACATTAATAAACATATAAATTAATTTATAAACTGCACTCACGTAATCCTCTTTCC